TGATTGCACTGAACCTCCTCTGCATCTTCCCTAGTTAGACAAATATCTCTAGAGATTCTGTTCGACTCCCACCTGGTGCACGACTTTTGTCCACAACTCAGCATTCTTATCTCTAGAGTTTTGTCCTCTCCCAGCGACCAAATACACTCCCAACGTGATTCTCCCGACGATGCTGTACCCAGCTCATCAATCCGCTACACTATTGCGTGCCCCTCTCCATGAGAACCTTTTCAGGTCAAAGCAATCAGAAGGTTTACAGATCTCCTAGAAATTGCAAACCCTAAATCTACCAACTACTGGATACCTAGCAGGAGCTCCTCTCACAAGTAGAACAAGCATAGCAGAACGACAGATTAAATTCCAGGGGAAACTCGTCCTCTTCTGATTTTTTTCTAGTGTGTTTTTTTCTATTCTTTCTTCCATACATACATTTCATATCTCGCAGATGGAGAGAGCGTGTCCAGGGACATCTATATGAGCGTAGCGGCATCATTCAGCTCCAAATCGGACAGAGAGAGAGAAGCAGATAGCGTACGCATAAGGAGAGCACAGACAGCACAAGAAGATCTTACACCTTCCACTTCTGTACTTCAACCGCCGAACACTCTCAGATATGCAGCCGACGCTGCACTTCAATGAACACGCACACGCCATCTCCATCTCTGCGATAATATGGGCATACTTACCTAGGCTAGCCATGATTTCCTCAAGACTGGGTTGTAAGGATAAGAGGCCAGGCTGCATGATGTCCGCGTTTCCACTTTGACCTAAACATGACAGATCTATGTAGATTGACCGTCCTTTTATCTACTGCCTCTGGGTCACAAATGATCATGTGAACCTCACCAAATTCTTTAGGGTTTGGGAACATGTACGGCTGACTCAGGGATTCGAACAGACTGTCTGTAAAAACGTTCTCCAAGTCATCGAAATCACAGCAATCCGTTGACATATGTTTTGGAGTCTGACTTCTCTGTTCACGTTTCGCAGGACGTTCGTAAAGCTCGCGATCGAATCGCTCACTCTGTCCCTCGGAATACGTCTGAAATCATCATACATGAACTCAGGTCATCACAGAGTGAAAAAAAAGTTGAACGAGTAAATCAAGTGATTATAACAAATAAATATTGATCAGAATTGAATATTGAGAGAAGGTGAACTTACTCTCTTCCGCTTTACAGGTTTCTCATGCTGCGTTCTTCTGTTCTTCATGTAATACCTCCATTTTTTATACTGAGCACCTACAGCCTCCATCCTTCGCTTCCAATACATTCCCTCCAGAACGCTGCCCTGAAGAAGGCCAGAGATAAGAACACAGCTGTTGATCAAGGCGAATAAGTATTAAAAACACACTTCGATTTTTGAATGAGTTGCATCATCGTCAGGTACTGTGAAGTAACAAAACGGGGTTTTCTTCTTCGATTTTTTAGTAGGCATTCGAACTGAATAATTCAGAATAATATTAATAAGATCTGTCAAAAAGCATGCCGAAACTTACACTCGATATAGTACGCTCGCCAAATCACATTATTCAAGCGAATACGTTGTTTCCAGTGTAATCGAAGGCCTTTGAAATCCTTCCATTTTGGTGTCGTCATTTTACTAAAAATCATTTTGAAAGTTTTATTTTGGGATTACGCTACGTAACAGCCTCATTCCTACCCAAATCTTTTCACAGAAAAGGGGCACCAGAAAATCTACTAGAAGCTTCAAAAGGTCCAGGAATTTCTGGACATACTTTCACTTCAAGAATCACCAAGAAGAAAACTTACTTGTAAGCCACTTTAATGCATTTGTTCAGCTTGTTCAGGGAAACATCTATTGCAATTGATTGCGTCTTCTTCGGCCCAAATTTGTAGAACGTGACCGGCTTCTCATACTAAAACAACATCTGAGAAATTCTGAAACAGTAACAGGAAGCATGAAGTTCGCATTTTCAAAACAAAGGGCTTCCTTAATGAAAACTCAGAAAAGAAAACGAGTAAAGTCCTACCAAAGCAGCACGTTCGCCCTTTGTGGTACCCGCACCAATATCGTCAGGCTTTTCGTCATCTTCGAACGACATCTACCTAAACAATTCGGGACGAAATACTGTGAAATTACGAAAACTACATCGTGAAAAGAACTAGACGGAGAGTATTTGATAGGTATACACACAGGAGCATACCTATAGATATGCAAACTCAACTTGTCTACTTGATTCGGCTCACGGAAAGTGAACTAAGTAGAACAGGAGATCTACTTGATTAAGCTCACGGAAAGTGAACTAAGTAGAACAGGAGAATTACGAGAGGGAAAGACGAAGAGACAAAAACACGGCCAAGAAATGTTGAAAGACTGATCACATGCGTAGTTAGAAATGATAGAGGTGGCTCTATTGGTTCATATTTTGTAGGCAATCGCAATATTCTGCACATG